TAAATTAATAGAAATGCATAATCAGTTAACTCTTATTTGGGTAATTTTAAAACTTAGTTTGAGATACTGATGTAAAAGATATTGATAAAAATTTAGCTACTGGACATTAGGTACTTTTTTAAAATTTCTTTTTCCCACTTATTTCTGGAATGTGATGCCTTAAAATTGTATTCAAAAAAATAACATGTCAAACACTGAAATTTTATACTGCCCTGTGATACTTTATTTGCTCTTTCTTGCTTAATATTTCTGTGAAGTAGAATAGTTCTATTATTCCTCTTTGCTGCTGAAGATAAATTTTACATGAGTCTGTTTCCAATGTTCTGTGCTTTGAACTTACTCTCATCTAATTCATGAATATGCTGAAAGATTACAAAGCTCTTTCTGGCTATAAAATCGACGAAACGGAGTCAGAAATAATGCGATTCTTGAAACCTTGTCCATCCACTTTATTTATGAACTGCAAAGGAAAATAATATCCAAATGCCCAGAAATATTTTGGCATTGAAATGAATATACGTCCTATTAACATAGTCAGAGATAATTGAAAACTGTTGACTAAACACAATGGAACAGATTTGAGAGAGAAGGTTTATTCAAGTGCAAATCATATAGAGGTTGCTTATAATTAAGACTATTTTATAAAATAAGTCATTTGAAATAAAAGTAAGGACATATCTAAATTCTTATTTAACATATGAAATAAAACATCTCTTTGAATCCAAAGAAAATCTATGTAGGGTTCCTTTTTATCCACAGCCTCTCCAGCATTTATTGTTTGTAGATGGGAGTGTAAACGGGGACAGCCCCTATAGAAAACAGTATGGAAGTTCCTTAAAAAACTAAAAATAGAACTACCATATGACCCAGCAATCCCTCTACTGGGCATATACCCAGGGAAAACCATAATTCAAAAAGACACATGCACCCCAATGTTCATTGCAGCTCTATTTACAATAGCCAGGACATGGAAGCAACTTAAATGTCCATCAACAGAGGAATGGATAAAGAAGATGTGGTACATATATGCAGTGGAATATTAGCCATAAAAAGAAACAAAACTGGGTCATTTGTAGAGACGTGGATGGACCTAGAGACTGTCATACAGAGTGAAGTCAGAAAAACAAATAT